TTCAGTCTCTTTTTTTTTGTTTTAGTTAGAGATAGAAAATTAAGACCAAAAAACTGTTGCATTTTAAACAATTTATTTAAAATATTTGGCTTTTATACCGTCAGTATTCTGTAAACTTTGTGCTAAACAGCTTGAGACTAACTGTTGCAGAAGAATTTTACACTATTAGCTCATTCTCTGGTTATTTTGTCTTTGGATATTAAAACTGTAGATTACAGTCATCTGCACAGAATTCTGAGATATGTACATGAGGGAAGACAGTCTTTAATGCACATACACATATACAGTTGACTAATACCATTGAGTAACAAGATCTTGGAGTTAAGACAGGTAATTCTGTGAAAATATCATTTCAGCGCTCAACAGTATTTAAACAATGCATCTGCATCAAGGATAGACTGTGCAGTTCTCGTCCCTTAGTGTCAGAAAGGATATAATAAAACTATAAAACTTGAAGAGGAAAGTAATGTGGATGATCAAATACATGAACCTGGTATCTCTGAGAGTAAAGGCTAAATAGATAAAGATTTCAGTCTACTCAAGAGAACAGAGAAGGGGATGTGATACGTAGAGGTCTACAAAATCTTGAGTACCCTGGAGAACTTGAGTAGGGAATGACAGTTTAGTCTCTTCTAAAGAAGACACTTCAATACAAGACTCCTACTGTGCTGCTTTTGCAAAATTAAGTTTAAGGTTGAATTTAACAAGGCTTACATATTTGGGGCAGTCAGTCATAATAGCACGGAATCTCCTTCAGTCTCTTTAGTCTTCCTGTAAAGATTTATAGTGGCAGCATTCCTTTGGTGAACCATAGGTACTAAAAATAACTTTTAAATAATTTTATTTAAAGGCTAGTGGGGTTCCTGTTTGGTATGTCTCAGTTAAAATAGTTTTTAAATGGATGCAGGAGAACAATTTTAAATAAGTCTTATGAAGATAAAGTAGCTACCCAAGTCAGTTATTCAAAAGAAACCATTCAAGGATATTCCTTCAAACAGGCAAACCAATGAATGTTAATTAAATGCAAGACTAAAAACTACTGTTTCTCTCATTGCTAATGCAATTTTGTAGGTCTGCAGTGTAATAGGTGATTTCCCAGCTCCATTAGTAAAGGAGATGTCAGCCAGACTTCTGTAACTTTGCTACACTCATAAGGCCTGCATACCTCATTACAAAGGTTGTCACGTACTACAGAAGAATTAGGGAGATACATTTCTTGCGGAGAAAATGTGGATATACTACTTCCCTCATAACCTAGGCAAGAGAGGTCATTTGCAGCCTAAAGGAGTGTAAAACTTCTTAAGGGAAGAAGGAGCGGGAATCTGCTAGTGCTTGCAAGTAGGAAGTAATGGCATATTGCCTTTATTTGGGTGAGAGTTTAACTGTATCAGTTTAGTGGAAACCCTGACTTCTGCGAGAGCAACAGTGTATGCCCATGTTATTGGTGATGAAAGACCACCAAATCCATTTTGCCAGTTATAAAAATCCACTTTTAGGTGACATGTAACATTCTCTTCCACAGAAATACATAATTTTAACCATTTTACAGTTCTGAAGATTTGTTACTATGTTCCGTTTCAGTGTTCATGTAAGTAATTTTGAGAAAAATAAAAGGTGTAAAGTCTGGCATGGCTTGATAATCTAATCTTCTACATACTGAAGTATGTTTTGTGAGGTTGTGTGATCGTTGTGTGTTTGTTTGTGGTTTTGTTTGTTTGTTTTTTAATGCAGTTGTACGGCTGTTACATTACAGGGCTTGAAAATCCTGGAGGTCCCTTCCATCCCTTTCTTGATTATGTACACAACTCAATTGGATATAAGAGTTTGTGATGAGCACTGTGTGCTGCTCATTCAAATCAGAGACTTATAATCCTTTTCTATGACTTTATGCCAGGAGGAAAAATCTTCTGTCAGTCTTCACTGGCTTTGAAATTGACTGTTGTTATCCTTTATCAACTTAATACCTTTATGGGTTGCTTTGGATGTCAGTTTTGGCTTATGAACATAGAAGCTATTCTGATGCACGCGATGTGATTGTAATTTTTCTTCCTTCTTGATAGTTATTAATTCCACCTTTTTCAGGAAATCCCAGTTGAAACTGCAGCATATCTAAGTATCACTACTTTTTTTTTTTTTTTTTTTTAAGCTCCCAATAAATAATTTAAGCTCAAATACTGCCTTGTCTTAAAATTGGAGTATAGCAAGTATAGAAAAAAACAAAGTCATAAAGAAATCACCTTAACTAGCTTTCTGTTTAAGTCACAAACTAATATTAGAATCATAGAATTGTTTAGGTTGGAAAAGACCTTTAAGATCATCAAGTCCAACTGTTAACCTAACACTGCCAGGTCCACCACTAAACCATGTCCCTAAGTACCACATCTACACGTCTTTTAAATACCTCCAGGGATGGGGTCTCTTCCCTGCCCACTTCCCTGGGCAGCCTGTTAATCTATATGTATACTTTCTAGTTAAGTCTCCAAGTAATGTTAAAACCCAAGTAAGTGCATTATATTGACATTGGTAAGCAGTCACGGTATCAAATTATGTTTCTTTATGTGATTCCTACTCGATTTCCATAATGATGTTAATAAGCTGTTATATGAAACTTGCATTTGCATGCAAGAAAGTTAGAAGGGCACACCTTATCAAAGTTTACACAACTTCAAATACGTCATCAATTAAATGCTTTCATTTCCAAGGGGATGCAGGCATTTGAAGGTAATAGAAAGTGCAGGAAACTTTATCTACTGGTATTTTCTAAAAATTCTCAGAGACTATCCTTTTCAAAATAGTTACAAAAAATTTAGTTGCAATAAGAATTTTTGCTATGTGGGAAAAAAATGGGAATCAGTCTTAACAACATGCTTTATGGCTCTGTTGACATCTCTAATGTATCTATTTTTCCTTTTTGCATGCTTTCTTTAAAATCAGGTTTTTTTAAATGTCTCAACAGAAGTATATTGCAAAATCATTAATTCAATTTAAAAAATAAATTAAATAAAATTCTGTCTAAGCCAATTCATGTCTTGCGACAGACAACAACATACATTATACATAATGCCCTACTTTTTGATAAATACATTTTGCTAATTGTTTACTTTTGGCCATAATAGTTCTTTTTACAATCTAGTTATAGTATGTTACACAATGTTATTAAAACTCTTCTGAGAGACTCTGTATAAAGTATGAATTATTAAGTAGCAGTTAAAACATCTAGACACACCTTTCAAAAATAGAAGTAAAACAGGTAAAGAAACACAAAATACAAATTTTAAACTTCTACAACTGAACACTTATGTCTGCTTCTGACAACTCTCTAAATGACAGAAAGAAACTTCTTATACTTTTTATTGGCCTAATATTTCAATTAAAAAAATAACACCATAACAGTATACACTTGTCTTTTTTTTTTTGAGCTTAAGTCTTTTCTACACAGTAACAGTTAACAGCAGAAAATGATTCTACTTGCACCTGCTATCATTACACTTCATTGCATGGTGTAAATATATCTGTAGATTTAGGGAGGAGATATTTTTTTCATGGAATTCTTTCTTTGTGGACTTGCACACAATACTAGAAAAACCCTCTTACTCTCCTAAAAGACTGTGAGAAGTAGATTTGTTATAGTCTCAAAGATATCGGTTAGATTTAATCTCAAGTTATTCATTGGATTTGTGATAGCAAGAGTATGGGTCTAAGGAACAAAAATTAGGAATGGACATTTTATTTAATTTATTGTTTTTCATAGCTAGTCAGGCTTTGAATCAGATGTTTTTTCCTTAACATGAAAAAAATCAAATGCTGAAGTAATGCATGTTGTGGAGTTTGTTGGCATTTTTTAATTTTTTTTCCAGATCTGAACTATTATCCCCTCCTTTACACAACCGAATGCACAAATTAAAATTTTTATTAAGTATTTTAGGACTCAGAATATTCAGATTATCTTTAAGATCACTTGATGGAGAGATCTCAGTTCTCCAAACAGTGCTTATGGTTTTTGGAAAGACCTGATTTGTTGTAAATTTACAGAAAATTTTATTTAAAGTTGTTTAGATGTGAGAGGAACAGAATTTATATTGACGCTCAAATATCAGTATTCTTGCAGCTTAACTGAAAACTAACTTTTCATCCTAGAGATTTTATGAAAATCCTTTTTGGAATGCAGAAGTATGTCTAGAGAATACCTTTTCATCCTAGAGATTTTGTAAAAAAACCTTTTTGGAATGCAGAAGTATTTCTAGAGACATGCAAGTATGAATGTGTACAGCAAAGTACTGTATTTTGCAGAAAGAAAACTTCTGTAGATTATGTTGTTCTGTTGTCCGCATACCTAAAAATGTTTATTAGTTTGTGCTTTTAAACATAGCGTTCATATAATGTAGACATTTGCCTCCTTTGTTGTTTTTTCTTGGATTGTGGAAGTGTAGTATATTATTTTATTGAGTGTGCATGCAGATTAAAATACTGTCTTTTATCAGTCTGCTCAGGTATGTGTTTTATATTCTGTATTTTTTATGTGGTCAGTTAGTCTGGGAAGCAGTCCATTAGTAAGCATTTGTTTTATTCTGTATACTGTAGACAGGTGGAAATTTTCTTTCGTTGGATGACATGCGTGCTTATTGAAAGAGAACTAACAAACTTGGAAAAATGCCAGAGGAAAAAGCATTCCAACACTGAGAATCATGTTGATGAAATGTGAACTCTGAGTCCAAATGTTAGCTTATTCTGACAGATTTACAAATGAGAAAGTAATTTAAAATCTTGAAGGTATTCTATTTTACATTAGGATAGTGAAGTATGTTCAATAACTGTTCATGTTCACAGTGAAGAATTCACATAAAATTTTCATGAGGCTGAAGCTTACTCATCCATTTTAATATGAGACGTATTATAGCAGGATGACTTATGTGATTTATGACATTTGTCAGATGTTCAGAAGAAAGTATGCCTTTGTGTATACCTTCTCTTCAGCTTCACTTTTTCATCCATACTTACAGAACCCGAAGGATTGCAGCAAAGCTAAGAAACTTGTGTGTAATATCAACAAAGGCTGTGGCTATGGTTGTCAACTTCATCATGTAGTCTACTGCTTCATGATCGCTTATGGCACTCAGCGAACACTCATTTTAGAGTCTCAGAACTGGCGCTATGCTACCGGTGGCTGGGAGACTGTATTTAGGCCTGTAAGTGAGACATGTACTGACAGATCAGGTACCACCACTGGACACTGGTCAGGTAAGACTTAATAACTCAAATAATTTCTCCTTGTTTTGTGCAGCTTCATTCATGTAGAACTATTTTTATACCTCTTTCTTTAACGTTATGTGGAGTGTAATAAATATGACTGCAATTGTATACATAACCATCTTGTAAATATTTTTTTTTATTGTATTGAAAAAAATATTATCCTTATTAAGATACCTCTGCCTTGGCAGAGAGTTCCAATAAAAAATTTTTGTATTTCAGATTTAAATTATAGTCCTTAAGCAGTGTGCCACTGTGGTATGTGCCAGATATGAATTCAATTTTTATGGGAAGAGAGTATTAAATAGAGGCTGTTGTTGGTAAACTTCAAAGCAATAAAGCATGTTTCAAATATAAAGCAAAAGAAATACAAAGAAAATATTATCCAATAGTCATTCACACACGAACAAAATAATGAAATATTTGAAATAATTTTTAATGTAGACTGAACCAACTCAAAATTCAGGTTGTAAAAACAGTAGCAATGTTACATACCTTTTTATTTGTAGATCAGTAAGTTGATCCATTCTTATACTAGGCTGAACAATTTTGCTAGAATAACTAGATGAGCATTCATTTTTGGAGAGTCAGATAGCTTTCTTTGTCTCAAAGTCAGCAGCATTCATTTTAATGGAATTCTTGCAGGCAACATCTTGAAGAGTTATTAACATCTGTGTGGTCTTATAGTTTCTTCTATATGTTTAAAACATTTTTCAGATTTTTGTCAAAATTGAGTAGGTGTACAGCACAACTGGAGATGGCTGCCCATATGCTAACTTTTTGCTCTCAATTTATGATAAATACTGGGAAGAATATTTTTAAATTAAAGCTCTGCTCAGATAATTTTTATGTGAACAATTGTCAGCTTTTTAAAACATGGATTTTATTGACTCTTCCTCTCTTTCTAAATCTGTAACGGGTATTATAGTGGGAGTTTATAAATGTTACAATAAATGCAGAGAAGACACAGTTGATCAAAAAGAATACAACTGACTGTTCTTATGCAAGACTAAGTAAATTTAGTGAGATGTCTTCATTGATAAAAGGAGATTCTTGGAAAAAACATAATTAAACAATTGGGTTAGAGAGAGGTGGAACATTAATTTTAATAATATTTTGTATTATTGACAATTATAGTCCACATAATTATTGGATCAGTAGATAAACTAACAATGGGTAGTGAATGGGCTGAGCTACGGACAAAAACAATTTAGAGTGGGAAACAGAAGGAAGATACTGTGCTACTTTTCAGGCTATAGCTGTGTTATTTATCAGCGCTGATGCAAATTTTGATTGTTAGCATGTGGCCCATTAATCTTATCCCAGAAAGGAATTTTGGCTTGGTAACTCTCTGCTTAAGGACAGATAAGAAGGGCTGATACTTTTTATTATTTATGTTAGTTGTGCCTACAGACTCAAGAATTTCTTTCCAATATATCCTGAAGGATGTATTTGGCAGCAACAGTAGTGACTTGGATTTCATTGGGACATCTAAAAAATTTGTAGGGATTTTCAGTAGACGATTGTGTAGACTACACTCATCAATAAGAGACAGTGCACTGATGAGACATTATTTTAGCTTACAGTTTTCTCATTAGAACTACAAGAGCTACAGCATGACTTCTGCAGACCAGTACTAGCCCAGTGCCATTGAGGCAATATATAGTTTGTCTGTTTGGATTAGCAAGCAGAGATTTTCAGTTCTGGGTTCACACAAACTGGTTTCCCCTGCACTGTCTTCATTCTTCCTGTTCTGTTGGCTACCCCTGATAGAGAGATTTTGGATGGGGTGTAAAGTTACATGCAGGGAAGAATGGCCAAATCTCCCAAGTCATCAGAGACTGTTGTGTTGTATGCTAGGGTTTGTTGTTTTTTTGAGAGTGGTGTGTTGTTTTGTTTGTTTCATTTGTGTTCTTTTTTTTTTCAGAGAATCAGTAACATTTCTTATTCATGTTGGAGCCAATAGTACTTGAAGATCTTTGTTATCTGGCTGATTAGCAGTTTAGTGAGGAAGTGTGCTGTGGAGGATATGTAGAGGAAGGAGAATTGCCTATGCAGTGGACAGTTCAGCCCAGGGCCTGTTTGAGTCCAGTCATAGCAAGAATTAAACTTTGCAGAAATCTCCTTGATCCAACACATTGTTTGTGTGTAAGTGTCAACCAGATCTCATAGTTTCCACTGTTGTCTCTGTGGAAAAGGTTTTACAAATATTTTTCTGCTTCAAAATATTCAATTAGCTGTTTGTAGCTTCTTAGAAGGTTCAGATACGATAGCCTTGCTGAATTCAGAGAAAGGGAGGGCAGGGTAAAATGTTATAGAAAACTGTAGTTTAGGATTAAATGCAGAAATGGTAGTTGCCTTTCCAAAGTAAGCACACATCTCTAGTTCAGCAAGGTAGTCTTTTGTCTTCTGTTGATGGTAAAGAACATTTCTAAGTCCTTATTTTTGATACCACACCAAGAACAATGCTGATTAAGATCAAAACCTTTTCATCATGAATATAGCTAAAGAAGTTCCCAGGAGAGGGTCTGCAGTCTCCATCTTTGGAGGCTTTCGAGACCTGTCTGTCTGAAACCCTGAGCAACCTGTTCTGATCTCATGGTTTAGCCTGCTTTGAGCAGAATTTTGGAGTAGATGTCCTCCTGACCTATAAACTGTGTGATATGGACAAACTTAGTAAATGAGTTCAACTGTGGGAAGAGTTGATTATGGCTAATAATAACCTGCTCTTTTGTCCTCATGAACTGGCACTGTCCAGAACCAGCTGCTTTAGAAGAGGGTGAAAGTACAACAACAGGAGGCAAGTAAGGGGTAAGCTCTCTCAAAGAGAAATTCCTACAAAGGGTCAGTTCTTCCTGTTTTGGTTGCACATATGAATCCTCATACATGCAGGTGAATCTTGCATCTTTCTCTATGTGGTTGATATTCAGAACATATCAAAATCTTCAGTTGTCTCAACAGGACATTGCATACCCAGTGCACATGGAATCTTAAAGTATTTAACTATTAAAGTCTAAAAGATCTCAAATGAACTTTTTCAGATTTACAAAATCCAATTTACAGATTGGTGTGTAAACACACTAGTGTGTTTATGCATTGAAACGACATTTACACATTGAAATAATGTCTGTTCTTCAAAGCTACAAGATGCTACAAAATTCTTATTTGAAAATCCAAGCTTTTTTTGTGAATGAGATTTTTTTCCAACAGTTAGTTCTTAGAAATGGTTGAATATTTTCTAAAAATAAGTAGAAATGGAAAACTGACATTGAAAACTGTAGGTGAAGTTTTATTCATGTTTGGCAAAGTTAGCAACTGAAACTGCCATCAGGGCATGGTTCTGGACATACTGCTGTATGTGAATTTAGCTGCAGGCAGTTTTGTGAGCCTTGCATTTAACATAATAAGCTGTAAACCAATGTTCTGGAGCACTTATGCATACATGACTTAAAAAGACGATGTATTTTCATGAAAATCTGTTAAAATAGATCACGATTTCCTGCAGTGTGGGCTCTTGCTGATGAAAGTACAAATAATGTTTCCTTTTATCTCCCTACAGTTTTTTTTTTAATTAGTTTCTAGATCAGATGAATAGTTTGAAGGCTGAACGCATGAAATGTCTTGATGTGATCAAATTTTTTTTAATTTAATGAATGCCACTAATTTGAATTTTGATGTTCTAGAGACAGAAGACATAGCTGCTTGCACTATAAACTGTGTTAAATTCTAATCTTCTGCAATGGCATGATCATTGAGGAAGAATGATACTGACAATTGATCTCTTTTACTAGCTTCAGTAGGAATCTTCACTGGATACTTTAGTGCCAGTAAATTTGAAAGACGTTCTGTCTTGCTGAAGATTTCTATATGTTTTTTTTATGTCTTTCTAAATTTATATAGATTTGATTTCTCTCTCTCTCTCTTTTTTTTTTCCTCTCTTCTACAAAGAATTAAGAGGCTTATACCAGCTGAGAGTATATATATCTTTAAAATATTAATGGTCCAGTCCTCTCTTAACTAGGCATAAAAGCTAAGTTTCTCTACTTCAGAAAAAATGAGTATGTTTTTGGAATTTTCCTTTTCCTTTGTTTTGCTCAAACACTTTCAGACTGTCATTCTAGAGAAAAAAAAAAATCTTAAAAAGAAATGGTTGTATGCATGTTCTTTTTAATTTTGAAATTATACATTGCCTGCAATTGTAACTTACATTTTCCCTTGATGTCTATGGCTAAACTTTTATGAACAATTTAGGTAGGAATTGTTACAAGAACTATGTATGACTTCCTAGTAATAAGAGTCAAAGTATAGAGAACTTGTGAAGACATAATTATCATTAAATTTTTGATTATTTGTCTTTAAAATAATTAGTTATATTGAGGATGAATATTTGTAATTGCCAGGTCATAATGTTTTGTTATTGCAACATGCTAAAACAGGGTAGGCCTCTTTTTATCAGTTTTTGCTTGCTGATTTATGATGTCTTGGTGACATACCCCAATAATACATTGAAGGAGGGCTCTAAAATAACTAAATAAAAAAGTGGAACCATACACTAAATGGGAAAAGAAAGATTAAAAGAAAGATTAAGAGAGAGGACAGATTAATATACAGTCAGAAGTCATATCTGCATTACATGGTGGGGAATGAAGGGATGTAGAGGTAAAGAAGCCATCTACATGTGTTAAATAACAGTATGCGCTCCTTCCCCTAAGGCCTGCAAACCAGTAAGATGAAAGATAACTTGAAAAAGGAAACCTGAAACAGTTTCCTGCAGTTACATTTGAATATTGACTTTGCTGCCTCTAGCCATGGTTTGATGAATGAATACTTTTAAGGCAGGGGTACCCAGAGGGGAAAAAAATGGCAGAGCTCTTCGTTTGGTGGTAGTGCCAGCTTTTAAGTATTTATTGAACTATAATCTTAAAATATGAATTAATATGTTTATATGTATAATTCAAGAAAGAGGATACTGTGGGTACACAAAATTAATT